GGTAATTTCGTCCTCGTTCTTTACGCATGTTCCTGCACGCTCATTGTATTTTTTTAAATTAACTTCGTGCGGAGATTCGTAATGAACCTTGGCGTTGTTGTGATCGCAGTAAGTTAGTCCTTTCGACCGTTTCGATTTGTTGACTGCGTAGATCGGTGCCTGTATTGGAGGCATTTCATCGAAGGATTGGTGTTGAATTGACTATTGGCTCGAACCTTTTGAGTCTTCGTACCTTATTGAGCACTATTCATGGACAGCCATCCCCAGGTTCTTCGTCGTAAAAGTGTTCAAAAAAAAAAAAGATTTGACCCTATATTTAAAATTCGCGTCCAGTCTTGGGGTTACACCTCGCGGCTTTCAGACTGCTTCGATTAGGTTCGTCAAAAGGTTGCCATCCGAAAGAGGGATGCAATAACATCCGTCTCGGGTGATGTCGCCCTCTATTCTGCGAAGGTGTTGGCATTAAGGTTACTGTAAACTAAATTTAACATTTTCTACTTTAAATTAACTCTGACACAAGTAGTTAATTAACTACGAAAACCAAAGCAAGGTGATTATTGTAACCTCTTTTTTGCGGTGCCGTGGTGAGGATTACGTTGTACTTCGGTAAGTTCTGGAGTCCGAAAGGGTCGTATCGATTGGTAAACTTTAAAACTGGTAAAAAATCCGAGGTTAAATAAAGTCCTAGGGCAAGTGTTGTATTCTTTAAAGCTTAGGATGAGAAATTATGGTTAATAACCTGCCTTGTGCCTAATGCCTTCGGATTCATTAACTAGACTTGGTTTATTTCATTCTAAATTCGATCTAAGGTGGCTTTAAAGTAAAACTATTCAGGCTAATTAACTTAAATACTAATACTTAGCGTTGAGTACTAGCATTGCCTTTCGAAGCAGTTTTTATAATATGCCTAGAACGATCTACCGTAACCAGTACATATAACATATATATAATATTTGGCGAACGTAGCTAAGAGGGCTAGTACACTACCGTCATCCAAGTGATTAGGTGCGACCGAAAGTCATGGCGGAAAAAATTAGCTAATAAGTGATGTAACCTATCACTTTCATTCTGTTTTCGGAACCACTAATATAACTTGATATACATAAACCATCAGAACTCAGTAGCTAAAACATGTTTTCTGCTAATCGATCAGATGGAATAAAAGGGAAGGAATATATAAGGTATCAAAGGTGTGAAAAGGAGTGGCAGTCTAGGGAAAAAGTAGCCACTCTAGCCCTAGGTGAATGAGTAGGAAACCAATAACCCCAACTTTGTACCCGTTAGTTGCGTTAATTCTGTGTCCTGACACTATGTGTTACGACCTTAATCACGTAATGCCTCTAGATAGTAATAATGTGCGCGACAATTTCCAATACGTAAAAAGTAAAGGATTAAAAAAAACAAAACAACAAATTAGTATATACACTTATTGATACAAAGAAAACAAAAAAAACTACGAACAAAACTACCAACAAAACTAAGAGGGACGTAGGACTCGCCTCGCTATAAAGAATGTAACAAGAATTAAGGAGCGCTCCGCCATGCACAAATCTTTATCTAAGACTAAATCCAAAGCTATGTAATTTTAAGCGCTCGAGGTAATATGTGCACAAACGTAACACTATCTTCTATATAGACCAAAGTATAATTTTAAATTATCCGGTACAAAATCTATATATAATATTTCAATTAAATCTGGTAAGTTGCTGTCTGAACTAAGGCTCTTTAATAAGAGCCCTCGCAGTAAATGAGAAGTAATAAGCTACTACGCCTCATGACTAGCCCTTTATGGTTTATGCGACATGACTCTTTACATCAAATCATCTTTCTAACCCAGCTGCCGTTTTTCAGTTCAAATACTATAACACAAAACACAGCATACATAACACCTAAGGCACAATTTAAAACACAAAATATAAAAGCAAAAATAAACATAGATTACAAAAACATATTGTATATACATTAAATATAAAGTACAGAACCATAAAACACTTACATAAAAATACAAAACTCGAAAACAAAACTAACCCTCTAAATTTCCACAGGAGAAATGATCCGTGACTAATCCAATCAAAAACCTGAGAAACAACCAATAAAAAAACAAGAAGAGATAACTTAATATTGCAACACAACAAAAATTTAACTTGACCTATCTGATTAATTGAATTAATTGAATACTAAACAAAGTAAATTTTATCTAGTTTAATTAATTTTACTGTACATATATGGAAGCATATTTTATGTGATCGTGCAAAATTGTTTAAATGGTTTGCATTTTTTCATTTAATAATAGAATAACTTTTCAGTAACGTAATGGATTATTTTGAAATTTATACACAGTTAGCTTCTACATTCTAGCTACATCTTGTAAATTCTTGATCTTAAATTCGTTTAATATCCAAAAAGCTATGAGCTTGTAAATTTGAAGGCTGTAGAAACAATTGCAGGTGGAAAAATTTAATTTAGTAAACGAGATTATAATAATTAATATAGCTCCCTTTTGCCCCAGAAGCACTGCTTGTCTCCTCTTTGGCATACTGGCAATTAGCTTAGCATTGATCCGGTGTTATATTTTCCCATTCTGATTGTACACGTGTCCAGAGCTCATCCAAGTTAGCAGGAGCTGTTTCGTATGATCCCAATTTCTCTTCAAAATTCCCCATGCATCTCAATGGGATTGAGCTCAGGAGATTGCGGAGGTCAGTGTAGCACTGGAACGACTAAAATTGGAACATGATAGCACTGATATTGCAGCGCGATACGGGGCATTGCCCTGCTGAAAAACCATCTACCAGGACCAAGGCCATACCAATCGCATGTTCTGGATAGGTCATTCTTGCTTATGTCTAAATACGTGCTTGCGGTGATGCTCCCTGGAGATATTTCATTTATCCGACCCTCTTAGATGTTATACAGGACCAAATCATAATTGATCCTCCCCCATGTTTATACGTTTGGATTACCTGGTGATCAAGTATTCGGTCGCCGGATCGCTTTCAACACTACTTAATACAATCTAACCATATCGATTGATATTGGTTTCGTAAGAAAAAATTGCTTTTTCCCAGTTAGACATAGATCAATTTTCGTACTTCTTCGCAAACCCAAATCTTAGTCGCTTTGACGGTCTGTCAAAGTGGGTTTAATTAACTTTTTTTTCGCATGGAGACCAGCAGACTGCAACGCTCTCGATAAGGTTGACCTTGAAACTGGTCTACCTAATGTTGTTTCTATGGTATATGAAGCTTTCTGTACAGATTCAACTGCACCCAATGTCACTAGTCGTACAAGTCGAGCTACATCCCGGTTTTTCAAGATTTTTGGACGCCCAGGTTCACTGCAAGGACGATTTGGATCATTTTGAGCTTTGATCCGGGATATTATCGCCTTACTGACGCCATATTCAAGAGCGGTCTCACTATAAGGCTTGCTTTGATCTAAAAGATATTTTACATCATTTTCTTTATCGATTGAAACTTTACTTATTACTAAATTAAGGTATTTAAATAAGCTATCCTTTACAGTCACTCAAACGCTTTAAAAAAAACCCCTGTATGGAGTGATCATGAAAATTTCGTAGAAAGATTGAAACAATTTTGCAGGAAAGGGGAGTAACGTGCAAAATCACTTCGAGCGATACTTAAACTTCTTAAACTTTAAATAGCGAGAAAGACTTAAGTAAGAAAGCAATTCCTCTAATGCAAACAACTACATTAAATAGAACTCTCAATCTAAACTTATACATATAAGGGATCAATATTAGCAATTATTAATTAAAACTTTAGAGAATTTTTAATAAAAAATTTAAAACATAGAAACAATTTTGAACGATAGTTTAACTGGTCAATAAAATTAATTCTTGCTTTAAAACACTTTTTCCATACACATTTATACAAATTTTGATATACTACCACCCCCTACGGCCGTCTTACCAAGGGCAATATTCAGGACCATGGAACGGCAAACTCAATCGTCTTTTGCGCGCGGCGCTTTGAATTTTTGTTGTATTAATAACAGGTGTTTCGGCTAAAGGAAATATATATATCCTATATTACAGTCGAAAGAATTAAATTTATCTTAGACTGCTAGGGTTAAAGGTTCTGTTCTTCCAATATAAGTTAAAAACAAGAAAGTCGCCTTTTAAAATAAAGTTGGTTGATATCATCGCAACGACTGCTAATATTACTTCAAATACTATTATTATTATGGCATAGTCAGTAAATATTAAAGTTATTACCATAGTAATATTACTATATACTCCTTTTAATTCATTAAATTATCATCAATTAAGCAATTATAAATATACCTGCCTTCTATATTTAATTTAATTATTTTTAGTAAAAGAGATTGTGTTTGATAATATATTGTTACTAAGAACACCGGGTTCACCAAACTAGTTTTTAACTGTTCAAAGCAAGGTAGCAGGCTAGCTATTCTACTTTTACAGTCCGAATGTAATGTAGATGTGCAGACATCTAAGGTGCACTTGTAAACCTACGGATCAATTTATATTGAATATTGCTTAATTAACTGATATTAATATACAAATTAAAATTTTAATATATACAGATATGACTGAGCACTATGAAATACTATTTAAAATAAATTTTGGTGCATCTCTAAGTCAAAGAGCAGGAGCTTGGTTAGTACTGAGGTAAGCGACCACGCGGGGCCCCACGGCGCAGCGCTAAAAAGCTCGATATATCTGTTTTTATTCGATCGAGCATCCAGAAATGTCATTAGTGAAGTAACATTTTAAAGTGAACTTTAGTTACCGATAAATATTAACCAAAAAGTAGTGTATCAATATTTTCGTAAACCAAAATTCTCATCACACTTGAAATTCATAAAATTTACTTTTTTTTAGGTGTTCAATTATCTGGTAGGGGTTAATAATCACTAATTTTTAATTTTTACTACGATATAATTTGACTCTGTAATAGTTTTTCAAATATTGTAATTAAAACTTTATAGTCTATTATTTTGAAGATTGTTTTAGGCAAATAATTTATCGAAGAGGTGATTACTGGCCTGTGGTCCGAATTTATATTACATTCAGTAAACAATAACTTTTCATAATAATTTCCTTTTTTTAATTTCTAAACAATTTTTTATAGTTTTATTTATTTGGTTTCTTTTTTTTTTTTTTTTTTTTTGTTTTACTTACAATAAAATAATATAGTAAATAGTAGTAGGAGGAAAAGGCTATAAGGAATTCAAATTTAAAATAATTTTTTGTTAAGTTATATTTCTTGACCTTAGGAGAAACTAAAGAAGTAAGCCTTAATGAGAGAAGAATTGCAAGCCGATAAGAAAACATGCGTGTTTTTTAAAAAACGTTCAAGGAAACAAATGAAAAAGTCCAAGTCAAGCGACTCTTCAGGTTATTAATAGTTATATTTTGAACAATTACCTTACAATTTTCTATAAAAAAATTCCCACTTCCTCATTTAATTTTAACAAAGTATTTTTACGGTTATACTTGTTTATTTTTTATAAAGAAGGCGAAGAAGAAAAGTCTTATGTGTCTAAAAAAGAAAAAAAGAAAGCGCTTGGCATCTCCGCCGGTATTATAAAAGACCTGCGTACTAATAACGAGGAATTCCAGCAAACTTTTACAATTAAGTCGGAGCGCACTGCTGTAATGATAATATATCACATTCAATTCTTTTCACCTTTAGTTTAATATATTTTGACTCCTGTTGAGGTGCCAGCCGGGCCTCAAGATCAAGGTTATATTCTTGCACTCGTTGTGTAACTCTAATACATTTATATAAGATGCTCTTTTTATTTAGGAGCCACCAGTTCCTTAACAATTGATCCAACTAAAGAAGAAATCCAACGAAAAAACGAAAAAAAAATTGTTTCAAGTGCAATAAAGTGTATATCTGTTATTCTGCACATTTCAATACTCATAAGTAAAACTTTTTTTAAAAAAACTTTACTTCTGAGTGAAAATACTCTAAACTCTTCTGTCCTTCTTTAAAAAAATAGTAGAGTTGTTATGTGTATATTGTTTTCTTTTTATAAATTTTTTTTCAGACTTTAATTTCCTAACTTGACATTTTAAGGAAATATAGCTTCTTCTTTTTAAAAAAGTAATTTGTAGTTTAAGATTATAACTTAGATGGTGAGAAAATATAGAGTCATATATTGTGTTAGTATTGTTACTCATTAAATACCACCGCATCTGGAACGTCAGACTTTTTTTAGGCAAATTGAGTAGCATTCGTTTGTTAAGTCAATCCTTTAATGACGCTTTAAATTTATTATTGCTGTAGTACCAGAGTTCATAGTTAGAACAGGTAAAATTCAAAATAATTTTGTGAGCCGCCTGTGCGAATTAATACAGCAAGTAAGTGGGATCAATAAATAAACTTTACTATATACTCTAAAATTTATGAGCAAAAATTGTCGTATAACTTTAAATGGAAATAATATTTTGTGTTTGCTTAAATGCAAATTTAACTTATATTGGTGCAAGCTTATTATAGTCTATCGTTCTCTTTTTCGATTAACCTTTCAACACTTTTGGAGGCCCGGGCCAATGGCAGGAAGCACCAATATTCGCGCCACTATACGCTGGGATTACGCCCCGGACGTCTGCAAGGATTATAAAGAAACTGGCTACTGCGGCTTCGGAGGTAATATTTTTTATGTACTTATTTCGTTCATGTTAGGCTTTTTTTTTGTAGACACCTGCAAGTTTATGCACGATCGCGGGGACTATAAAATGGGGTGGCAGTTAGACAAAGAATACGATAGAGGAACTTACGGAAAACGTTTTACAATTCTGAATGTTTATTACATGGGTTATATTGATAAGTAAAAAAAAAAAAAGAAACCGTCGAAGAGCCTTCTAGCGAGGAAGCCGAAGAGGCAGAACTCCCGTTCGCTTGCTTTATATGCAGGAAGCCCTTTATAGATCCCGTGGTTACGCGGTAGAGAGCTCAGACGCACTACTTATTATTTATACCATGATTCAATAGTTTGTGTTACTGGTAGATGCAGTCACTATTTCTGTGCCAAGTGCGCTTTAGAGCATTATCAAAAAAGTAGAAAATGCTATGTATGCCATGCAGCGACCAGCGGGATTTTTAACACAGCTAAAAGTATTTATTATTATAACTATTATCGTTTATTATTTGCATTACTGTAACTTAGATATAGCAAAGAAGCAAGAACGGCAAGTGGAAATCGCAAGAAATCTTTAGTTAGGTTAGTAATGTTTATTATTAAGTAAGATGCAGTAGTTAACGACTTACACTTTAGTGTTTTTGGCGTCTTAGTGGCTACCTGCGCATATAAAAATAAATAGGCTCTTTAGAGGAATCTCTGGAGTTGCTTTTGAAGAACTTCTTCTTCGCTAGCCCACTTTTCCTCTACAATTTGTTATTGTTACTAAGTTCTATACAATATCATAAAAAGTTTATTAATACTTTTTTCCTCTAAAGGAATGATAACGTATTATAGCTTTCCGAGAAGCCATAATTATTTAATTCCAAGAGTAGTGCGTTAACTTAGAATTCTTAAAAAGCCAGCTAAAAAGTAAATTATTTTTTAGTAGGAAAGAGTCACCACAAGTTATATGTTAAGGTTAGAGTTGTTTTTCTATAACAAAATGACTCTCATCAAATGTTTGAGCCTGTGCTTCCTTATAGCGGGTATATTACATTTAACCGTGCTGCTGCTATGTTTTCTACACTCCTTAACCAAGAGGAGGAATTATCAAATACAGCAACGAATTACCAGCCTTACAGGAAAGCTTCCTGTCTACTTTGGGCGCTTTAACATAAGAAGCTTCAGTTTATAAATTTTTTGAAGAATAAATCGAAATCTCCATTTTTAAAGTGGAAAATCAGGAGAAAACTGAAAATTTCGTATCACTTAGGGAAAAGGATAGTATTTTTAACTTTTAGAGAAAAGATTTTACTACTAAAGCCTACATCCCAATAAGTATCGAAACTCTTTGTTCTTTTAGCGCATCATTGATCTTTGAATAAAACTGTCTATTTTCGTAGTAATTTGATAGCTTCAATGGAGGTATTTAGTAACCTACGCGATAGTTTATTGAAAGGTTTGTAATTTGATAAGCATATTATAAGTAGTGGAGCAGAAAGGATTTGTATAAAGTTTTTTTTTTTAGTAAATTATGCAGACGCTCGATAATTTTAAGCGCTATTACTAATAACTTAATCACTGGGCGTAATCAGCATTTAGTTTTCACTAGTCCTCTCATTTTTTATTATTATTAATGGTATTTCCTGATGCTCATTCGGGTCGTAAAAGAAAACAGAGAATTTACGTGCTCTCACCAGGGTGATAGCGTACACATTAGCTTTAAGCTTGCTTTAAAGCAATCGCATATATATATATCTTAAAAAAATTCTACCCCTAATTCCTATTTTATATTTTAAAGCCCACAGCGCTGCCGACGATAGCGTGCGGTGGGCCAGTTCCGTAGTTACCTTCATTTGTCAGTAATAGATGGTGTGCTGGTCGAGACGATCGTTGGTGGCAATAGCATTGCGGTGAAAAAAATTACCCAGAGGTCCAATCTAGAGGTCTTTATGTATAGCAATGTTGCTAATAAATCATGGCGCACTGTCATAAGGCGTAGCATGTTTTTCCTCACTTGAAGCGAAGAGAGACTATTGCCAGTGAGTCGTAGACCCAGGCCTAGAGGGGTAGGTCACATTCTGTCGGATGCACAACCAACACAAGCGTCATCTATTGTGCAGAGTTTGCTTCGGCACAAAGTAAAGGATAAGAAATACGAGCCGCCCGCCGCCTGACCTTCGCCGCGATAGTTTACGTGCGGCAACCTCGAGATTATTGTCTAGAATGACCCCCAGGTATTTCGCCTCAGGACACCAAGGAATTAACTTCAAAAGTTAGCGGCGGTAGTGGTGTTGTGCACTTTTTGTGGTAAAATGAACTTTGCTCTTTTCCGCATAAATAGAAATTTTCAAACGATGACACCTGTTGGCAAGCGTCACTAGATAGTACTGCAGATACTGGCGCAATAGGGCAGGTTACTTTGACGAGGGGTGTGTTTTCGTGTATAAGGCAATCCGCGTGTGGGGACCGTGAGGCTATGGCACGTCGCGTACATTGCAAAGAGCAGGGGTGATAGAAAGAACTCTTGAGAGACTCCGGCAGTTACTGGTCTTAGAGGTGATTGCGCACCGACCTACGTATATTAAACACGCGGTCCTTAAGGTAAAAAATGATCACGTTAAAAAAAAACGTGGGAAGGGTACTGGTGCGCAATATGTGAAGCAAGCTCTTGTGCCAAACAACTTGGTCAAACGCTTTTTCGACATCAAGATAGACGGCTCCCGTTGCCTTCTTTAAATTGGAGGCGCTGATCATCCATTCCGTCTAGCGAAGGAGTTGTTGAGTAGTGTATTGCCCTTGTCGAAATCCTAATTGGAACTCTGGCATGGTGTGGCTCTACTCAACAAATGCTTTCAGCGGCGCAATATGGTCGCCTCAACTATTTATTCTTTAACATCACGTTGGTATACCGTCGGGTGCTATTCGGTAAAGCGTTAGCTCAATCTGTTCCTCGGCATCAGCAAGCAAGTTTAATTCACAAAGCACTTCATTAGCAACTTAACCAGCAGTGGCATACACTGAGTAGAGAGGTGATCAGCAAAAAGGGTTGCTTTGTTAGCATCATTTTCCGCCACAAAATTGCCGCCTCGCATAGTAGGTAATGGTAAACGCGCTCGGTTTTTGTAGATCTTAATAAACTTTCTGGAAGAGACGCAGCCGTTACCGTTATCATCCAATATACTACTTATCTTCGTCTCCCACAATCGGTAATGGTGCGCAAATAGCCTTTTCTTAATCCGCTGGTGTGTCCTATTATCGCTAATTTACCTTTGGGCGTTGTGACACCGTGGCCACTTGCAGATATGGGACTTTAATTCATCAGGCAAGCGGTTAGGGTAGGACTCCACTTCACGTGTTTTGTGGTAGTGTGGCACACCATGGTTAAAGCTCCCTTGAATTCAGTAACAGCAACGTCAAGTAAGGCGGGCGTCCTAAGACGGAAGATATTGAAATGGTTATAGCAAGAACCTCAGAGAATTAAGCCCATTCCCTAAAAGTTCTGGTATATGTCCTCAGTAACCCCTTTTCGTCTCCCAAATTAAGCAGAATTTCCAGGTGGTCGGACAAGGGTTTGTAAAGAGCTTTCATTGTCGTTGAAATATGAATATTTTTTAAAGCGGTGATATCTAATATGTCTGATACCCCTGTCTTAGCCATGTGCGTTGGGTACTGTAGCCCTAAGACGCGCAGTCCGCGCTCATCGGTGTAAGATTTGAGGACTCTGCCGTTTAGGTTATTGATGCGGTTGTTTCCAGGCGGGAGGCTTGCAATTAAGGTCTCCGCATACAACAACTGAAGAACAATTTATAAAAAGACATCAAGATCTGAGGTAAAAAGTGCCTTTCTACTGGTCATCCCCTCATTCAGTACATATATATAGTAAATCTGTATATAAACTATGTGTGGGTTTAAAGCGATCGCGGAGCCGTCGGATGCGTGCACTCATCCCAAGTTCGTATGTAAGTTCTTGAGCCCATTGGTGGCTTGGATACCTACTGACTCATTTCAAAAAAAAGTACTGAATTTCAAAAACAGTCTCAAGTCGTTTCACTGCGTACGAAGTAAGGTGCGCCTGTATTTGACCGCTACAGTTTGTTTTGTTGCGTCTTCAGGAGTGCAATGGTCGGTGATTTTTTTGTATGTCAAAGCAAAGGATGCGTAGACTAGGGCGTGCACACGGTTTATAGAGGGGCAGTTTTCTGCGCAAGGTATACCGAGAGATGAAAGCCTCCTAACGATATGCTAAAACCTTTTATATTATAAAAAGAGAAAAAGGGCCGAAGCAGAATAGAGAGGGGAAATAAAGTGAGGAGACGGGTCCAATCTAATTAATTTGTGTTAGTAGTGTTGTGTTACTATAGTTACCACTTAGCAATATGTAAGCTACATGTGATTCCACCACAACTTGTTTTCAATAATTTTTTTAATTTCCTTTTACGAAGCTTTTGCACTCGTAAAGCCTACGGCGCCATTGTAATGCTTTGTTATTAGAAGTGATTGCGGTCTAAAGATAAAAAACAAATCCTGCATTGCAGGGGCCAGTGGATAAGTAAACTGGGCTGCCTTTGCATTTTAACATAATATAACTTAGTGTCGTAGGCTTACAACGGGGCCTTGTGCTAATGTTGGTCGGGAGGAGGGCAGGCACGTATAACTGGGATTGAGGACCCCAGTGCAAGCGCTCCGGGTGGTAACGGTGTTGCGTAATTAGGGGTGGAGGTGCGGTACAGACGCGCGGCTGCGTTCAAAATTTGTGTGACCCCTCTCACTAGTAGCTAACCATAATCAATCATTACTCTGCTCGCCGACAAGATGATGGTCATAACTTACCAATTTGAGACGGGTATCTGTCCTCGGAAGCTTCCAGTTCATAGTGAGAAGTGGTGGAAGATTCTTAGCCGATTAAATGAGTCAACGTTATAGAAGGCATTAACAGCACGCCTCTGGATCTGAGCGCTTGACTCTTGTCATCGCGCAAAGCGGTACTGGCGAACGCTACAAATTCTACACAGCTTGACTCATTGCAAAATAATGCAAGGCCTTCCTAACCAGGTAGCTTTGTTTATCCTCCTACCCACGGCCAAACGTCCTATAACCTTTTTAAAGCATACCACCGTTTTATGTGCGTTGTGCAACTTAAATAAGTAGATGCATACAGTGTACTTTTAAATCGCTATTATATAATATAGTTGTTTACTAACGAGTTTTTTAAGGTTAAAGCAAACATTTACTAACATTATTGAATATAATAAAGAGGCGAGTTGTGTAGTTAAGCAAGTAACAGAGTTGAGTAATATAACAGTTAATTTGGCTGCATTGACATAATACTAAGAAATTTAAGTTAGAGACCAATAACATTCCACAAAAACAATTTATAATAGTTCAAAGAAATATAATGTAATCTAAAATAATTTATTCCATATTTTAAGATCTCAATTGTAATAAATAGTTTTTAACATATAATCAGTATAATGTAGTGTGATAAGAATTCTAATGATGTACATTGCCCCTGTCTACCCCTGCTGAAGTGGAATGCCGTCGAGCCGCTAAAGTTGACCCCGACCGACGAAATCCTGCCGAGCATAAAGCTTTATCGAATCGAAAAGTTCCTGGCCCCGATAACATTAACGCCATGGTAAAGCAAAAAAAAATGCCATTAGTGGTCAGTGGTCATAAATTATCTTTGCTTCCTCGTAACCTCAAGCATGACCCTAGCCGACCATCAATCCCACGTCAAATATTAGTAAAGTTAACGGATACGCTCTACGCTCCGCCTCGTCTTCTAAAGTAAAAGACTTGAATTGCTTGTCTGGAAGTTGAGAAAGCGTTTGGTCAAGTTTAGATTGTGGCATCAGGGTGTGCTCTGCAATTCCGCGCTCTAGTCCTTTGTGAGACCTTTACACTGTGTTCAAGGTTATCTTAAAACCCGCATCTTTAGCGGGCGAGTGAGCCATGCAAAGTCGCCCTCTAGAATGAAGAGAGAGGGTAAAAACGTAGCCTCTCCACTTGTACCGTGTGCCTTCCACTTGCTCGCGTTACTAACTAGCCCTCACACTCACCAGCTTTTTAATTCTTCGGTTACAAATGGGAAAAAGGAAGAGCGACTATAACAAAAAGGGAAATACTCAACCTTTAAATGATAATGGCGTAAGTGGGGCAGTCACTTTTGCAGAACCTCTTATATTTTATATCACGTTATTTTTTATATATATAGGATAGATTCTTGTGTTTAGATAACGACACTTTTGTTAACTATTATAAGGTATATAATATAAAATTTATGTGCTCTTTTTCTTGTTAAATATACTAATTACTTATCTTTGTACAGAGGCAAAGTTTTCTTCGTCCCGAAGAATTTGCTAGTTTTCTTCAGTCTTTAAGGACACCGTTGCCAATCTCTTTTCGCATTGTTAACTGTAAATTGTAAGAGTAGATAAGACTATTATTATATACCGAATAACTCGTTCATATAGAAATGTATATGTTTTACAAAAAGTTTTGGCAGATTATATCTTTCCCACTCTTAAGGGAGTCTTTGCGGAGGATAAAGTATATTTCCTAGTTTTTTGTTATTTACTAGAAAATAACTTTGCCCTCCATACATTTTGCTTCTATACTTTAAGATTTTGATCCCCTCGGTGGTGTCATGGTACCCGCATCAACTCGCTTTTCAGTTGGAAGTTCCCCGGACATTAATGCGCAAGGATTTGCGTTATTATACATAATTTAATTTAAAACCAATAATTTTTTATTATTTTTATCTATATGTATTTTCGATTATTATTTTTTTATTTTTGTGTTAGGCATGAAGGAATTTCAAAATTTTCTTGTAAATGAATCTGAAAAAGGGGCCATATGCCGGCAAGAAATAGTCAGCATGGTTCCGCCTCTGCTTCTTGCTGTTCAGCGAGATTGTAAGGTACTTTCATTTCCTTCTTGAGCGACACCTTGTATATCTAAGAAGCTTCTTTTTAGGTTCTTGATCTTTGTGCGGCACCAGGATCAAAGACTTGCCAACTTATCGAGTATTTGGACGGTTGCGGGGATGGTAAGCCGCAGCAGTATAACAAATTGCTTCTCTTATATCTTTGTTTCAGCCACATTAGTATTGGCCAACGATTCTAACATAAAGCGGTGTCATCTGCTTGTCCACCAGACGAAACGTTTGAGAAGCCCCAAAGTTATTGTAACCAATCAGGATGCTTCTTGCTTTCCGTCTCTGTACGCTATTACTGGGGATCGCCTAGTAAAAGCTCTCAAGTTTGACTGCATACTGGCAGACGTTCCGTGCAGGTACCGCCTTCCCTCGCGCATTTTCTGTTGCCGCTTTTATACGTATACAAGCGGAGACGGTACACTGCGGAAAAATCCCTTTCTTTGGGCGGACTGGAAGCCCAGCGGTGCTCATGGCTTGCACCTACTTCAGTGCCGCATCTTGTCTCGAGGCGTCGAGGTAATACTAATACGTTGAGGCGTCCATTTTTGGGTCTATTCTCATGTGCGCAGATGCTGGCCGAGGGTGGTGCGCTGTGCTACTCCACGTGCTCGTTCAACCCCGTCGAAAACGAAGCTGTGGTTGCCCACGTGTTAAATAAGTTTAATGGTTTGCTACTGGTCTATAAACTAGTAATGGCGGTTTGATACATTTGCTTTTAGGTGAAGTTGAGTTAATTGATGTTGGCGACCGCCTTCCAGGTTTACGGCGGGTTGGTGGCGTATCCACGTGGGTGGTAGAACTCTTGTTACGCGATATCCCTTTCGTTAGACCACTGAATTTTTCGGAAGGTGTGCAGTGTGGTCGATGGCCAGCAAGCCTTCTTCACTTCTTATATCGAAGTTCCGGAAAAGTTGCGTAGTCAACTCAAACCTTCTATGTTTCCACCAGAAAATATCGGCCTGCTCAACGTCGAAAGATGGTATACTTAGTTGTTGCGGATTGCTTACCCCGGCGGGCCCCTTTTTTCATTGTTCATACGTTTTCATAATTTTACTGCTATTGAGTCTGTAGTAAGTGTTTAGCTTTAAATAGTTTCTGTTAGCAGCGATAATAGTGGAAAAGTACTATATTTTTTCTACTGTAAGCTTTCGAATTCTTCCTCATCATCAAAACACTGGTGGCTTCTTTATTGCTTTGCTTAGGAAAACAAAAGTGCGTCCAGGAAGACCAGGTGCTTTTTTGACCTTCATTATTCTGTAGGAAGACTTTAAGTTTTCACTTTACCAGTCGCGCTCAGCGAGAATTCTTTTGACCATGAAAAAAGGAAAATTACGAATGAAAAGAATTCGTTTTTTTTTTTAACAGGAGAGGAATCCTTTTTGAAAATAATATTGTTCTCAGTTTCATTATCTTAACTTGGTGCTTATCTTGAATTTTTTTTTGTTAGAGAAACTTTTGGTCTGGATGAAAGTTTCCCCGTGAAAAATCTTTTTGTGCGTCACGAGAAGCCTTCGCGTTCCGTTTACTTTGTGACCGAGAGCGTCAGGCGCGTAATATTAATGAATGCCCGCAACGTCAAGGCACTAACATAGCAGACCCCACTTATAAGCTTTTTATTATTAATATAAAGTTTATCAATGCTGGCGTGAAAGTGTTTTGTCGGTGCGATTCAGCGGAAGAGAGGGCTCCTCACTATCGTTTGGTTCAAGAAGGTTCGGGTTTTCGGGCGTCCCGTCACTCTCTTGGCCATCTTTCTTGCAGGCGTGGACTTAATTGCTCCTTACATGCAGAAACAACTTGTTTATCTCCATCGAGAGGATGCAATTCTCCTTCTGGCAAAAGTCTTTGCTTTATTATGAGCAACGCCCTCTTTTTGCACTAGTTCCTTTTTAGGGGTCGGTGAAGGCATCTGAGCTAAGCTCAAGTTTCGCAACTTCTGCTACTGGTTGTAAGACCGGATCCATTTGTGGCGCCCTCAAAGTTCAAACTACTGAAGGCTGGTTTATGTTGCCTTCCCATAGTCGATCCGTGTTGAGCTTTCTTTTAATTGAAAAGGTTCAGCTGAAGAGGCAGTTTATCTCTGCCTTTGGAGAGGCAAAGAGTCGTTTGTGGCCATGCTGGAAAAGTGCGAGGCTAAGTCCATGTTGATTCTGCTAGCGGGACCTGTTCGAGCTGCTGAATTGTGGGAGAAGCACAGAAACTAATTTTAAATCCTTTGAGGGGTTGGCCCGCGTTAGTATTATAAAGTGCATTATTTCAAGGAGTGTTACAGGTTTCTTAAGCGCTCTGGATTCTGCTCTCACCCCTTGTTATATAGTCATTATTTGGTCTAATAAAGGCATTTATTTTCGGGTTTTATTTTTTATGTAAATTTATTACGTACCTAGGAAAGCTCAAACTGCATTATAATTTTATAAGTTTTTCACTGTAAGCAGTTATAATAAATAATTACAAAATTTGCTTATATTGAAGGATATATCTGACATCTGTTTTATTAAATATAAAGCCGCTTAATCTTATAGTCAAGTTCTACAACTTCGCTTTATCATCGAGAACAGAAAGATAAAATCATCCGGTTATTCAGTGTAATAAAATCATGTTACTATTAGTCTTATGCAGCTATTATGTTTTGCAAATATGTCTTATTGCATTGGGAGCTCCTTTGGTAAATGTTAGTTAAAAAGTCGGTTTTTTAACTCTGGGACAGGCTTAATAGCACGAAGCTTCTGATTTTACTCAAAACTTTCCAATAAATATCGTACTAGCATTTTTCTAAAAAAAGAAAATTTTATGATCAAGGTAATGCTGGCTCCTCGCTCCTTACCGTGAAGTCCTTATTAGTTGCCTGTAGCTCATTTCTAAGCAAGTACACTATTAGATTAGATGTGAATGCTTTATTAACTTGCATGATTGTGCCTGCAGGATATTACCGTGCTATGAAATTTCAAAAATCACTGAAAGCAAATCTTTCGGTTGCAATATTTTATAAGTTTTTTTCTTTTATTGTGAATCTCATAAATTGGTGTAGTGCGTTCATTAGCCATCAAATAATAAAAACTTTATTATCCTCTAGCACTACGCCAATTTGTTAGTTCCTGTTGATACCTTTTTATGTCAACTACGTTAGACTAGTAAATATAAACATAATTTTCCTTTTTTAATAACAGTTTAGAAGTTAAATATCATATCTTGAATTAAAGTTATTCATTGCTTCAGGTCCTAATATTAACACATCCGTCGAAAATTTAAATTTCTTTAAACGTATCATTTTTAAAATAAAGGACCTTTTATAGTAATAACATTTTATCTTAAATTGCCATATCTGAAAGTTCTGGGTAACGTTCTGTTACTAATACTTTCAGGGGCAAAATTAGGTCTAATGCAAACATTAATGCTATAACCGACGATCTAAACATCCCACACTCCCATTATTATTATAACATTTCTTGAAAAGTCTTTAGTTATTCAATTAAAAAAACTTTTAATTTTTGTCTCTAAAGGGAAAAATAGGTATTCAGACAAGAAGTTTAATACCTTCGGCACTAAAAAATATTTAGTCAATATGTATTAGTGGTTAATTAGTTTATAGCGGTTAACTATCGATTGATCAAACATTTTTAAGCTAAATTTTAAATAACCGGAAGAGTAGTCAATATATTCGGAAAAGATAGAAGAAGGAATTTGTACTAATGCTTTGTTTTTTAGCCCCCAGAAAAATAAGTTAAACTTCAACATCTTTACAATTAAAACGCTTTATTTATTTTGAGGTCTTAAAAGAAAAGATAGACCTCATTTCCAATTTTTAAAAGAGTGCAACAAGCTTTAAATAACTATACTGTTCAATAAAAACTTAAAGATTTTTTTGAGAAGTTTGTTTCCAACCTCTATAAAAATTCCTGGAAAAATTTATCAAAGTTATCAATATCATCGGTTTTCCGTTCTCTGTTCTTATTTAAGTCTTGATTAAAAGCCCCCTCTAGCTCTTCCCAATCGAAAGTATTTTCCTCAGATCCTTTATTTTTGTGCTTTAAATCCAAAATCGGATCCTCAGTCCCACCTGAGTACGATGCTGAATTTTCGACTCTGGTCGTGGGTGTAATATTTGCCTGAAAGCTAGTTGTACTCTTTTTGGGCCTCGCAAAGGGAGCGGGGGCCCTTTTCCCGAGTAAGTGTTCTTGTGAGTAAGCATCTTGAGCCAAAGAGGCTGGTGAAGCACGAGCCTGCAACTCGGAAGGATGCCCTGCTACAGTCTCTAAACTTGAAGAATTCAAAGTGGTCGGAGTAATAGACTTGTCCACAGTTTTGCGTTCCATTGATTTGGTAGAGGATAATTTCGAACCTGGAACCATTGGTAAATTACTAGCTGGTTGCCCAAAGAGGGGCTTTGTTGGGGCAGTGAGGCTGGGAGAAGAGGAGCCTCCTATGGCTGACGTGGCTGCTAAAAGAGAAGGCGGAACGGGTTTCATTCCGGTAGAACGCGAATGTGCGTGTTCGCTGTCATGTGAAGGAGAAAGCTTTCCTTTCACCGAAGGCGGCCCTGAAGTCTGTAAACGGGAGTCTCCTTTGGCAATTATTTCTTTGGCTAGTAGACTTTGTAGGGGCCTGTTTGCCTTTGAAGGCTCGGAAAGAGTTGTATTTTTTGAGAGATTGTCGCAGATACGAGGCTCTGAAGCAAAAGTCACACTTGGTTTCTTCTTTAAAGCCATGGGCGGCGTAGTTACAAGTGGGAGAGGTAAGGCTAACTTGGGTCCTGGCTGGTGCCGCTGCGTTGAGCTCGGCTTTAGGACCACCTTGCATTTATCTATCGCCTTATTAACTAAAAGAGGATACACAAAGTCCATTTCCGCTACTTCTTTTCTGTCAATAAAAACGCCTAAATTCAAATCTTCATTTACTTCTTCAATTAAATATCTTGCCGTAGTTTTTTCCGTAATGGTTATGCTTTTTTGGAAAAGTAGTTCGTTTTTGTCGTAAACTTCACATGAAACTATCATACTAGGAGCGCTTTTTACAAGAGTAGAAGTTGCTGAAGTGGATCCTTCTTCCTCTAAAACGGCATAATTAAAAGTATTTTGCATACCATTTTCGGGTGCAAGAGGGGTTGCACACTCGAATTCTAAGTTATCTGGCGAAAGCACAAATAACTTTATAGTCGGATCATATTCCATCCAAGGAAAGACTAACTACATTGAATAGTACCGAAAACAAATTAGATAATAGCAGCTAATTATTCGGAAGTGGTAAACATTTATCAAACCTCGTCAGGAGAAAAGGAAATTAGCTGATCATTTTCGCCAAAACACATTAGAGTGTAAGTGCCTTTTTCTAAAAATTTTAATATTTTCAGAAATAATTTTTTAACATAACATAAAATATTAAAGCTTCCATGCTAAAATAAAGTCAGTATAATAATAAACTTTACGAAGCAAAACCTCTCGTAATCTTTTTTACCACATCTTGACTTGTCATCAACTCAGATATAAACAAAGTTCTAACCATATATAAGTCTTCCTTAAGAAAGTGTACTTTGCACAAAATTTTATTCCGCGCTAAAAAGATTATAAATTTTAAAGAGAAAAAGTAAAAAATCTTAAAATAAAAGTGGACACCTATGAGTTTTGAGGGCTCGTTTGAGCATTTCCTTAAATCGTCTAACCTAAATACCCAAGAATAATATTAAAATTTACTTATATATCTAGAATTTTAAAATTATTTTAAGTTTACTAAACGACAACCTAGCTTGAATAGGAGTTTAAAATACGTTTATCGCTAAGGTTGAACCTTATTTTGCCTTTGGATTTTAAGTTTTTGGGTTTCATATTTAAAGTACGTTTGCTATGGAAATATATATGCGTATAATATGATAATAGCAGGTTAAAAAAAGGTCAAATAAAAGGAAAGTAATATGAGTGTAGTAAAAAAATCTTACGAGGTAGGATGTGTGATAAATACACGCTTACTCAGGTAACTATCCAACTTCAAGAAGTAAAAACTTAAAATGTAAACCACAAATATTAAATAAGCGCTATTCGCTTATAGGCCATCCTGGGTCTTATCTTAATTCGCTTATCTTTGTAGAACAATATTGTAGGGCAAATACTAATTGCTGCATTGAGAAAAAAATTAGGATAAAAAGACATGTAAAAAAGTTTTTTCGTTATTAATCAGCATATAAATGCTATTATTATTAACTTGGATTATGTATAAAATTTTTTGGTTTTTATATATTTTCGAAATGTTTAGCGGATTAAAAAATTAACAGTAAATTCTGTAATAAAAAATTTTCTTATATTTTTTGACTTATAATTAATTAATAAAAGATAAAATTCTTTTTTACAATACTTAAACATTTATCGAGGTTAGAGCAGGATAATTTAACTTTTTTTTATTCCTTGAGTCAAGTTTTAAGTGAGTTCTTAACTTTCTTCGAAAAAGTTATATATAAGAAAAGAATGGCCCTTGTTAAGTGTATAAAAAAACTGTAGTGTACAATTAATTATTCAATAGCATCGTTTCAAAATTATATCAGGATTTTATATCAGGACTTTATATCAGGACTTTATATCAGGACTTTAAATATATAAAATTGTTTTTATAAATTAGGGATGAGAGCTGCACTTTGCAGCTTTACTAAATTGTGCACTATTCAAGCAGTTACTGAATGTCTAGTTGTGATTGCTATGGTTACCGTCTCAGGTTTACGTGCGACCGCATAGTTAAGAAAAAATATAACGTTTGTGCACATCTTATTACCTCGTGCACCTAACTATCTCACCATCGGGTCAAGCCCTAGACAGAAAGGCTTGCGTCTCCCTATCAATAAGCTCAGTTTTGGTTACGAACTATTTGTCCATCCTAGGCGGAGCATAGAAAATAGTCAATACTTGGTATGTAGTATATGCATCTAGTAATCTGTAGCAATTGTGCGACGTTTAATAGCGTTATTCATTAGTATTATATAAGTAGTAAAGAGCCCGTTATTGGATAATGCTGACCGAATAGTGTTATTCCCATGTAAGTACTCCAGCAACGAGTAAATTTATAAGCAGAGTAGTTCGACAAGAGGCGGTTAAAAGCACAGTTGTATACCATGGCCTATCAGAAGATTAACACATTGCTAGAAAACCATATTAATGTTTTTATAGCGCCGGTTCAAACTATTCAAAGATCTAGCTTAGATCTAGAAAAAATAGGTAAATATCTTTTTTTTTTTTTGCCTATTCTTGTTCTTGAATTTCATTCTGTTAAGATAACAGACTCTATATACTAGTTTGTTACTTATGTTTCCTTTGTTTTTTAATTTTTTACGTTTCTTTGGCGCTCTTCTGACCTTATCAAACTTCTTGGTTCCAGCTTTACAAGTAGCAGTGGTGTAAGGTAACTAAAGAAGGTCGCGGAAAAATCGAGAGTGAGCCGCAGTAACGAGGCTTTCAAAGAGAACTACTGAAACCGTATTAAAGGCATTTAAAGGACCAGCTTGCAGGAGGGACACTTAATTATTCTAGGATCCCATCTTTACTTTTCAGTTGTTACATCAGACTAGTACCAAATTTGTAAGCTTTTAACAGAAAAGTTTGTTGGGAATATTAGGTGCTTTAAGCCTGCGTACATGTTAGTATGAAAGGGTAAAATACAAGTTATACTAAGAAACTTAAAATAATTCACCTTAGAGATTAGGTTTTTCTACCTGCCACTTTATAACTTTTTCCTTGAGTATTTCTGAGCGCTTAGCGGTTTGAGGACAACGCTATAGAAGCTATTTTACGCAACTGGCTCGCGACACTGCTAAAGCTTTTTTTTATAAAACGGGTATAGTTTTGATTCCAAAAAGGTGATTCTGGTTGGTAGATGTTATAGTAGAGAATCAAGTATTCTTAGCCTTTGTGTTGGTTTTACACAAAATTGAATTATAACTTAATTTTCTCATTCAAACTACTCTCGTATAACTAGTCTATAGGACAAAAAATATAACTGTAAAAACATAAAGGTATCTAGCACGTTGTTCTTAAGTACTTTGCTCTACCCTCGGGTCTTTTAATTTCCCCAAATAAAATTTTAAATTTTAAAAGACACACTTATTAAGTATTGAAACTCACGCAAAGTTACAATTTAGGGACAAAGTGGAATAATATTTTATTCCATTAAGAATTTAAATTCTAATACATATTTAATAGTTTGGGAAGCTCAGCGAGCGCCACTTAACTAATATTTAAAGCTTATACAAAATTTTCTGACTTAGACCTCGCGAGTATTTAAACCGCAATTTTTGCTTAAACTGAAACGCTAATAGAAAAATGGGAGAAAACTTGCTACCTAAGTTTATTATATAGCTTAAGTTTGATCTGTAGTTAGAAAAAATTTTATTTAAGGAGAGAGTATAACAAATATATGATGCCCTTGCTAAAATAGATTTTTTTTAAGATTCGTCTCGGGAATTTATCTTTAAAAGTATTGCTAGGTCAATATGTTATGTGCGCAAGATAAAGTGTGTTACTTCTTTTCAAGTCTGCATTAGCAATAATACTAATAAAAACACAAAAAAATTACGTAACTTATAAGCGTAATAAGTAAAATTATTAGTCGAGAGGCTGGTAGTTGTTATGTAATAAAAAAAATTAACATCAAGCTAGTTAGAAACTAGAAAGCTCACATATCTAACATAATTTTTTAAATTAAGTATAGGCAGAGTATATCCACAGCTAAATAAGGGATTTTTTTAAAACAGTTTTTTACTTTATGTAAAGTTAAATAGTTTTGAAACTCTTTCGAGGATAATTATTATTCCAGACTTGAGAAAAGAAACTAATTCCGAGGCCATAAGCTTTATTTTAACATTTTTAACACACCCACTAACTGATTCTATCGGAGAAGCCTCATTCAAGGCAGCGAAGAGCAAGACTCTTTTGAGAACCGAAAAGTGCACTGCATCGCATTCGCCGTCGACAAGACCTAAAGCTCTACTTCTTGGCAAGAGTGAGCTTTTGTTGTCAAAAGCGAGAACTATAACTAGTTAACAAGGTTAACAGTTTAAAGGAGGTCTTTAAGACATATACTTCCTGCTTGGGCCGCTGTTTATCGGCAATATAAAGTGCTTAGCTATGTTAGTTTCTTACAAGCATTTAATAATCTCGCTTAGCAGTGTGTAAGAAAAGAATTTACAGAATCTTTTAATTTTTATTAAAAAGTAAATATGAATTTATTATTTTTACTCAAAGAGCAGTTATTGCTAAGCAGATTTTATATTTAATTTTTATTGTACTAAACAAGAATTATATGAAAGTTTGATATTTATTTAGATCATCAGCAGTGATAGTTGTTTTGACGTTGGTAAGAGATTTTAAAAAATCTTCAATAATAACGTTCCTTAAAGGCGCCTGCAATAGCGGCTTTGTTGTGTTTTAAATAAAAATTTTTAAAAAAAGCATACCTCGTCCACAGTGAATTTACTATCAGAAGCATAAAATGTTTTAAGCTATAATAAAATATACTATTATTTTAAATTTTAAAAAAAAACGACCAGTTAATAATAACTAAAAGAAACATATATAACAAAAGAAGTCCACCTTACTTATGTAATTAATATTAATAAAACAAGTCAACCTTATAATACTACTTTGAAAACAATGAAAAAGGGAAATGAAAAACATTCTATAACCAAAAATAATAGTAGCACAAATTAGCATGCGGAAGTAAACGTTGCAACCAAGCAATAAAGATTCAAAGAATGACAATAAATTTAATAAAAATATCAATTATACATTAAAAAAAGATTTTTTGTAGCTGTTACAGAAGCACAGAAAAAATATATGAAATTTTTTTTTTTATCAGTTAAAATAATTAATTTATTAAAAATTATAGAGAGAAATACGGTATAATAATTATATATATTTACAGAGACTATAATAACTATACAAAAAAGCACAAGCTATATATGAGAAGAAATATACATATTTTAAAATCAAAATTTTTTTAAATATATTATATTACGATTCTCTTCTAAACAAAAACATCAATCAGACTTCATAATAGGCGCGGGTAAATTTGAATAAATAAAAATGCATTGTTAAATAATATTTAGCAAAAATTATAGATTTATTAAGTCTTATATATTAAGGGAAAGTATACAATTAATTTAAATATATATAACATTTATTATTATATAAGATAACTATATAAATTAATAGACTTCTTGTTATTATATAAAAAAGGAATATATAAGAAAAAGTATAATAACGTTTTACATTACAAATAAAATAAGAAAGTATAAAGTTAATAAATAATATTTTTATATGTAAAGAAATATTATACTAATAAAATTAAATTACTTTTACTGAAAACTTATAGATACTAAAAAGCTTTATCATTAATTTTTCAATAATATTACATCTTTCTACTTACTATGAAAATTCTATAATTGCTTTTATTTTATTATTAATAAAATTACTTCAGGAGCGAAATGATGTTCGCGCAGAGGAAATAAAAGAGCATCCAAACAAAGATCAGCAATATCGCTCCCTGGAAATATTAGCAAAAAAAGCAAAACTTTTATAGGAAGGCAAGGGGAATCTTTACAAAAATGGATAATCGGATTTTATATAAGCAGGCGAAAGTTCGAAGCAAAATAAGACAACAAAGAAATATAATAAATATGAATGGATGGCAATGTAAACAATTAAAACAAATTTGATATTCTTCGATTTTAGTTTATAATAATTATATATATATAATCTCCATAATCCCAAACAAGGAGTGTGGTTATGTTCATGGTATGGTAACACTTCCACTAATTAAACAAAGACTTGTGATTGGTTAATGCGTGTAGGATAAGTTACAAATGGAGCGTTTTTTGCTTCAACTCGGGCCGAAATAAGTTTATAGGATATATATTGGGTGACTTATCACCCAAATCCCTCAAATTTATAATAAAAGTATTTGGGGGTTTTCTTTTTAGTTCTCGTTATATTTACTTTTCTATTTTCATTTTTTGCAGTGTTAAAAAAGTTAGCTGCCTTCTACTTTCCTTTAAAACCATATAACTATAAACATTTAGTATATACTTATCACTCACCCCCAGGTGAGTTGATTAATAAAAACTTCTTGTTATAGTAATTCGGGTTATACATAATATATTTGTATCAAACAATATTAGTAAAATAATATTTATTATATAGTACTAAATTTATTATTTACACGGAAAATAAAGAACATATATCAACGCAATATAAATAGTGTAAATAAAGATAACCTCACACAATAAACAGATAATTAAGTAATACAAGGGAAACATAAAAGTAATGAAGACCAGAGTATCCTTCAGTTCTATTAATTAAAAGTTCAAAGTCTTCTTTAGATAAAGCGCAAGGTACTTCTCCTGTACAAAAAGTCGTAAGAAATATGAAAGAATAAATTCACTGAATATTTTAATCCCAAAGTATTTAATATTAAACAACCAATATGAATTTCGAAAAGCTTTCTTCTTGCTGGTGCGTTCGGCAAAGGTATATAAATTCTTCGCTGGAACCTTCTGAGGAAGGCCCTAGAAAGTGTTGCATATTAATAACGTGTTTTTTTTATCAATAGTTAGTATGAACTTGTCTAAGTCCCACGGGCAGTTGGTGGCACATAGTAAAAATACATTCGGATGTCCATCAATCTGAATAATAGTATTTTATTATTATATACTTTTATAAGAAGTAAATTTTTTTAATAAAAAAAGATTTGGAATGCTGCAAAAGTTATTTTCAAAATACTAACAAACTACAATATCATAAGCGTGAAACTGAACTCTTAAATAAATATTAATAGTAATAATGTATAAAAAGTTCGCATTTACTTGCTTTAGTAGTTCGGTTTTAACCCGTCGCGTGCAGTCGTCTTCTCTTTCTGTTCTTTTTCGACTAGATTATAGTGATAAAGTATAGTTTTCATTTCTATTATAAGATATTGTTGTAAAAAGTGCTACAGTAGATTACCATAAACTGTCTACCTCATCAATGAAGACGACCTATCAGTGAATAATAATAACAAATATATATATATATTAGAATGATACTTAACAAACCGCACTTTTCTGCTGACTAGCTTGTAAAAATAACTCTTGTATTAATCTGTATAATAAGTTAACGAAGTATATATATAATAAAGCAAATAACCTACTTTTCACTTTCTCCTACCCAACTGCTCACTAATATACAATTAATATTAAAAAGTTTATATAGTTTGTTTAGAGAAGATGTTCAAAATTATATTTATAGTAATTAGTTAAATATTGTAATTCTAATTGAGAAGTAATCCGTTTTTAAAAATATAAATAAATGTATTTCAAAATATATATAGTTTTTCATTTATAATAAATAAAAGATCAGAATTTATTATACTTAAGTGCTTTTTATTTATGTACGTTTTTTAAACAAATAAGTAATATCAAGTCTTTTTATAGTTAAAGGCAAACCCAAATCCGCGCTGGATAACGAGAAAAACACCGAAGAACTTTCATAAGCGGCCGCTTTGGCGAGTCTGGTCTTCCCTAAGCGCGTTATAAGTACCAATAAAAAAAAAAAAGTCGCACAATAGAAGAACAACAAGCCTACGATCAGCCGATTGGTTAATAAATAATAAGTTATAAAGGGAAGGATACCTGTGCCGGGAGGGCCGTAAAGCAATAGCTTCGTCCAAGTTTTTCGAGATTTAAAGAATAAAGGATACTTTCTGGGAAGTAAAATAGCTGCAAAATAACCATAAATAGTTATAAAAACTTTAAATAAGATTAAGAATTACTGGAGGTAAAAAAATCAGCTGTGCTCAGATTAGCAAAAATAAAAAAAAGCGAATAGGATGAAGGAAACTCACCTTCAGAAATCAGTTGTTTCACGTCCTCCAAACCTGATTAAGTAAAATATTAACTATTTAATTTTATAGTAAAGCATCTAAAGAGCAGCCATAAAATAAGTTGAGTGACGTGTATGCTCAGGCTAAATTTAGTTATCCAGTTTATAGAATCACAAGAAGAAAAAGGAAAAAAAATAGCTTAAACTAAGTAAAAATAGCAAAAATAACAATCAATAAAGCTTTTTAAATTAATTTGTTTAAAAATAATATAGTTGTGTAGATATTGTCTATATATTATTAATTGTATTGAAACAATCCTTTATATATTATAAATTATAATATTATAGATTCGAAATTTCGAAGCACAAAAAGACTATAATCTACTTAAAGTAGTACCGGCAATATCAGTGAATAAAACTTTTTCGTTGGAACAAACAATAGTTTTAAGTATAAGATCTTTCCTAGTAGGGATATATAAATACATAAATATCTACTATTAAATACTAAAAGTAAATAAAAGCATGTTAACTATTTATAATAATGTAGTGGTAAAAGTAAGTTAAAAACCGTATGCTTTCTTGAAGGCGATTTTCTTGAATTAAAGCGCCTGGTAAAATATATTAGCAACTAACAAATTTATAAAAGTATTAGCTATAAATAAGGCGTTAATAAACATGACTGCTGGGTGATTATGATTATTGAAAGTTAAAGATTTGTACTTATAGTGTTAAATTAAAATTTTTCCATCAAAATTATTAAGATTATCTATAATACGGTACTTGACTGGTTTGATACTACGCTATCAGTCTTTCGTTTCATGATCATAGACTCTAAACGTGTGTTTATCCAGTAACGGACTCTTGTAAGAAATTGCTTAAATTAAAGAATATTTGAAAAGTTTTAGGAATCACATAAAAGGTTTTAAAAAAAAACACCCGCCGAGTAGGATTTTCCTCCATACTCAATAGACGGCTAATGGAGAGTAAACACTGATTATAATTTTCTGTAACAGAGCTGGCCTGTATGGTAGGAAGAGAATCTGCAGCTATAGCCGCTTCAATCCTTACATAGTTTTTGTTTTATAATTTATACTAAGAACCAAAAAAAATTTATTTTAAAAGTTTCTAAATTGTAATAACTAATGAGAGTGCTTCTTAGCGTATAAGAGTAGCATATAGTATATAGTATCAACGTACCAATCTGTTAAGCCTATAAGGTGAAAAGTAAAAAGTTAACTTTATAAAAAACCCATTGTGATTAATATACTTTGATAACAAGAAATTTTATCCATTATTAAAACTTCTATCCAGGGTTCGTAGTTATGATTCAAGCCTTTATTTTAATTTAACAGAAAATACAAGTTTTTATAAACAACTAAGTAACTGTTGGGTAAATTAAAAATATAATAAAAGATATGGCGTGTACTGTAAGGTAGAACACTTAGCTATGATTAAAAACTAGGTAGTTATAATAATAAGAAAAAAAGGAAATTACAAACTGCGGTAGATTTTAAGTAAGTTTAACAACGCGAAGCCCTATATAAACACAGGGATTGAGGAACCCAACATTCCTTATATGATCCAGGCTAAAAACCGCGGAAACTAAATAGTTAAATATCAGCACTCAAAAATAGTTATACTGAACGGCGATATTTAAAAATAGTGGAATATAAGTGAGAGCAAAGTAGCAAAAGGGCAAAAAATACAACACCGACAGACAAATTTGAGCTAGGGTAGTTAGAACAGTTCAGGACCCTTATTACCGTCACCCACTCCAAATATGGATTATTTTGTTAGAGATGGAAAAAAGGTTATATATTAGTGCTAGACTTTGTACAACTTTACTTCTTTAAAATCATATATCCAGAGTACGATCAGTATATGAGAATAAGGATTTAAAAAATTAGCCAAAAATTTTAATTTTTGTGTAAACACTCCACAACCAGCTAAAAAAGAATAGTTTTGAAGAATGGTATACAAGGTGGTTCAACTGCATTTGTAATCACCGCATAAAGTACAAGTAATTTGTGTGCAATCTTTCTTTTAATAAAAATCAGAATTGACGTAAATGAGTAACAATTAAGTAGGAATCCTAATCATTAGAAACAAAAAATTAATTCACTGATGTCGGAAGCGAAGAGGGAGAGGTTGGTGGAAACAAAAAGCATGCCTTTCCTTTAGGTGGGCCAGCATACTTTATAAGCGAAAAGTGAAACTTCTTATAGATCATGTTAACTTTTCTATATAATGAACCCCAACCACTAAAAAAAAAATTACTAGACACCTACTTTAACCAATTTACTTGACGCGTAACCAAAAAGTTTAATTTTAGGTCAATTTCTTAAATTGGTTAGCTAAATGTTTTTTTTACTAGTAACTCTAATGGTACAAACCGGATAAATGTTGTCCAATAAAAAGTTAGATTTAAAGATTGTCTGTACGTAACATGTGAAACCGATGTCATCATTTACTAACATGTTTATCTGCACGTGCGCGCAAGCAGCTTATAAAAGTATAAAATACGTACTTACTTGAAAGATTAAAATCTTTCGAGTGTAGTGCGGATAATCCAATGAAGGGTTACACTACTACCTTCCTTTTATAATATACTACTGGGGCGCTATAGCTAAACCGTAATTCTACGCGAAGTAGGAGTCTAGGACAACACAGCTAAAATAAAAAAAATAATACCTTGTCCTTTATGTACCTAATTTGCTAAAGACGTCAGAAATACAATTAGCCAATGAAAAATATAACCTGGTTAAGCTGTGGGTACTCAATACTCTGGAAATAAATTTAACCTATAATAAAAAGTGCTCTTCTTTTCTAAACGCATTATAAACATTAATTATATATATATTTTAAAGAAGGTGTAAATGTTATATCAGGTTAAATAAAATTTGAGGAAAGCGAAATAACATCGGAGCTCGAACCAATTAAATTTCTATTGATTTTTTCGTATATTTTAAAGAGAGAAAAACGTACATATGTTCTCTACTTTTTTTTTTTCTGAACTTTTTCCGTTACACATGCCATCAGAAAAGCTAATGGGATCAGTGCATAAAATGCCTGCTTTGTTTAGACCATCTTACTACCTAGATTTTTCTGCTGTCTCAGGTTTTTAAGCCGTTCTTCAATTGATCTGGCTGGATAGAAAGATTACTCACGTATTATATACCTTCCTCTTTTTTGGTGACCAGCAGGTCAAGGCTTCAATCTTCTTATAAACTTTAATTGTGTAGGTCACCGAATATAGTTTCGTTCTTTCAAATCTTTTCTAACTTCTACAAAGTTGCAGCCCGGAAAGGGTACTGTCAGCGCTTTCCCTTGTTGGATATAACCTATTTGTCTCTTTAGTTAGGTTCTGGCTGGCCCTCAATTAACTCGTACAGCCTGTAGTTTTTTACTAGTTTCTTGTCAATATTGACAAAACAGCTTTTTCCCATTAAATAATAGACCATCCTCTTAAATAATAACTGTTATACGACTTTTTTTTAATAGGAGCTTAAAAAAAATGTTTCTGTTTTACACTTTAAATATAGTATCCTCGGGTTACAATTTTTTTTTAAGTTACTTATTTTCTTAACGCAACTGTAACACTATTTTTTAACTATACAAATGGTCTCGTGGATTATATGATATTTTTTACAACAATTAAATGATTTTGATTTTTATTCGTATATGTTTTTTTAATTCTATATTTTAGTTATGTATAGCGCTTGTGAATCAAATGTATTATTTTGTTGTCATCTTTAACCCTTAACGCGATTCCTGGACTATCCCAAACTTCGTAGTTTGAGCTTGACAGCTCTTGGGCAGAGCGACAAGGGCGTTTAGAAATCTATTGCGCTTTATAATCTCTGTTATTTGCTTATCACCATAAGCTTAAATCTTCTCGGCGATGTTGTCTATTCTGCTCTGAAGTTTAAACACGTACCTTTTAAAAATAAGTAAACTCTGCTTTAATTCAAGTAGGCGCACCAAACAAAAGGCCTTACTCGTAACTTTTTTTAATTTTTAAAAGTTACTTTCTTTTACGAGTGAAGAGAATCAGTGAAAGATCAATATTATTTAATAAGGTATCCCAAATCAGGTCTACTTTTCCTGAACATGATACCTTTTATCTCTTCATGGAAAGGTAATTTTAAAAACTAAAAGTTTTCTATAAGCTTAAGAAACTACTTCAAATCGCTCCTAATATATAAAATAGTGGACTCTTTAGTAATGGATTCCTAATCTTAGATTGCACCCGACAATAAAAATTACCGCTTACCTTTAAAAAAGATATTATATTAAGGTATCAAGCCCTGAGATACCACCTTGTCGTTAGAAACAATTATGCAATAATCTCATCATCCTCAAATACAATTTAAACAAACATTAATTTCCCTGCTGGTAACAAACTTGAACCGAAGTGTGGTGGGCTTTTGATCTGTTAAGAATCTTTATAAAAAGCATTCCCTTCGGGCTTTGAAGAAAGTAATAAACTATAACAGCAGAGTTTGTTAAAACTTGTTAAACTACTATTTTAAGGGTGTAAATATAACTTTTGGCCATAAATTGTAGTTATGATCTAAATTAGGGCGCCCTTTTTCAAAAAAAAAAACTTCAAAAAAACTTCAGTCTTATAAAGTAAAATTGAACGATAATAAAAAGTTTACATACATATAATAAAACTTAAAACTTCAGGGGTTTTATTAGTTGAAAAGTAAAAAGTAAAAAATCTTAAATTTCTTTTATAATCATGCGAGTGGCCTCGGTTATGCCGACATCATAAACGTTGAAACATATAAGGGAACAAAAAGTCGCCAAAGATACAAGCTATTGTCTTATGAAAGTTACGTTCAACAATACAAAATTAAATTTACTTTGAGAAGAGCCATAAATACTGGTTGAGCAAATCCCTTAATGTAGTCTATAATCACCTTCAAAACTTTTAAATATGTGTGTATAAATATCCGTTAAAAAAAAACACCTGCTCCAAGCCCCAATGTGAGTGAACAGAAAATAGCAAGGCCATAGCAGAATCAGCATAGATGTTAGGCAAAGGGCTGTATATGGCCAACGGGATGCTAAATTTATAATAATATTATTAGTAAAATAAGTGGAATAGATATTAAACCGCTACACTGCTAAAGAGGCAGCAGAAACAACTTTTTCAGCTTTCCAATGAGTAGAGGGTGCCATATCTTACATAAAAGTAAACAAACAATAATATATTTAATTGTATATAAAAAAAATACCAAGGTAACCACGAGTTATGTA